GAATTCACCGATTCCAAAACGAAACAGCTATGCGATAATAAAATAGAAAAAGTTTGTTTCCACCTTAAACACATTCTTCTCTTTTGAATTTCGCATGTGCTCTTGATCAATTTAAATTTAAACCTTCTTGAACAATTCATACTAATATGAAGAAATTGTATAGGATGGTAATAGTCAAGAAAGGAAAGGGTCAATACGCGAACCGTCTTCAGTCCACCAGAACTCTATGGAAATTGATCAGGTCCAGCCTGCGGTGCTTGATTTAAATATCGCCGGTCAATTGCTGCTAGTAAGTTCCGACCGTCAGTTGAAGCCGACGTCATCCTGGAATATTTTCCAGTTTCCGTCCTGATGCTTTTAAGGGAGGAAAGGGAACTCAACATTTGAAAATCGCTGAATTGTCTGAAAGCCAAAGCGTACGCACAAGACTCAAGAGAATTAATGCACTTAACATATTTACCCGCGACAACATTCAACGCACTTCTCTGATTATCAGTCACAGTATCATGCTCATGAGTTTAAAGATTAGAACTGATCTCCCAATGACATGCTATCTTCTGCCGTTTCCGATATCATAATGTGTTAGCAGTATTAGCGCTTTAAGGTGACCCTACGTAATCCAGAGAACAAATCAATTGAGTCTATAAAATGCTGGCTCAAAAACAATCATAAAATCAAGTTAACACTGCAACAAGCCAATGAAAGCGAACTGTTGCTGAAAGTTGATCCGAAGTTCATAATGAGAGATCAGTTCACAATCGGCTGTTCGATCAATGACACAGGTGTTGAATAATTCCACCATTTACAGTTATTTTACCATTTCGTAAAGATTTACATTTTNATATCGATGGATCGCCCAAATTTCAGTAATGAAATTTCGTGATCCAATAACAACGAACAGTTATTTGCTTTTGGTGCAGCATGAAATGCCGATCAAAACACTTTTCAACTCAACTTCAAAGACCAAAACATTGAGGGTAATTGTTGACCGCTCAATACGTTGAGCCTTTTTTTCTCTTATTGCTGCAGTGGAATCAATGTGCTTTAGGTCTTTTCACAACAGAATAATCAGTTTAAGCCATTCCGAAAAGCAGTTAAGATAGGACAGAATGACGTTACGCATCCCGATTGAAAAAGTATACGAATTGTGATGTTGATATGGTGAAACATCAGCAAATGCACAACCTCACAGTTCTATAAATGAAATCTTCGTTCTCATTTGGCACCATTCAATTGCCTTAACTCAAAAATAAATGCAATTTACAACAGAAATAATTTATGTATCACAATTAAGAATTCATGAGCTATTGATATCTGAATTAGATAACAGAATATGCAGTTGTGCAGTTCGGTGGCTGTTCCTCGCTTGATTCCTTAGATAGCCGAGAGATTCAGCTAAATTTAAGAACTTATGGTTAGGCATGTTAAACGGTTTTTCTAAAAANAAAAATTGTTGATATGGCTTTGAAAATCCTACGCTGAAATCTTATCCGATTATGAATGCAAGAGACAGAAATATTCAAACTCATGTATCGATTTGAATAGAGCAGTTCCATGCGTTATCGTTTTACAGGTATCCTTTCCACAGCCGATTATTTCAAACGCTGGAACACCATTCTGTTTTACAGACGCTTCAGGTGAATAAATGAATGAATATTTTATTAATGAGTTTAACTTTGTAGGCAGTCTGTCTGTAAATGTGTATAAAGTCTGTCTATGAATCATTTAATGGAAATTGAGTGATTACACCATAACACTGCACAATCCGACAGTCTTGTATTGTTAAGAGAAATTTGCGTTTAAAATCTATCAATTTTCGAAGATAATTCGGACTACATCCTCACATGTTGTTTCTCATTTCTTCAAACTCCTTATCATAGTCTTTACCAGGTGAAAACGCTCACGAAAGATTCCCTGCAAGCAAAAAAACACCCAACGAATACGAATGTGACCTATCACAATTATCCACAAGTGGTCTTTATTCGGTGTATGTGGTTCGATTTCCCTCACTTCTACGTGCCACTTACAAATATCAGTGAGATTTTCATTTCTATCGATCATTCCTTGCAACGGAGGGACGTAGGGAAACCACTCAGCAAATGACTCGACACCTTCAATTATCTCATGAAATTATAGTTTGAACGTTACTGGGAGTAGATGCAGATCCACTTGTTGCACTCCATTGTAAATAAGTCAATGAGTATTTATTCATAGTAAGGCTTGAATTATAAATTCACAGGTTGTTTTACGATATCAGGTTGTTTGCTAAAGTGAGAAAATTGAATTTGCACGGTTTCCGTGTATCTCCAGAATTGATCTCTAGAATTTCAATATAATTGTTACCAAAAAATTGAACAAAGATGTTGATGAATACTTATATTCGATAATAATTCACTTGTAATAATCTGAAAGAGTTAACCATTCGTCTATTATTCCACTTTCTTTCAGAATTCCGATCAGCGTTCTCATCGCCACGCCGAGTGGTGAGTACTTAATCAGTACAACTGCTAGTACTGATATTGACGGATCGAAAATTTGCCATGATTCCAACAGTGCAGAAGTAATTTATCTGAAAATTTCATTCTTGAATTTTCTTTGAGAAGATGCCGTCTTGGAACGTGAAAATGAAGCATGAAGGGTACGGATTTGATAAGAAGGTTCAATGTTTGATCAGAAGACTCACTGCAAAGGATAACGTCTATTCGGACTGCTTCCCGGAGAGCTCATCAGATTCGGCCTTTAAAGCATGAAGTGATGGACGGAATCTAATTTTGTAATAATGTTCACCGTAAAGTGCCAAATAAACTGCCCTCACTCAAATTATTATGACCATCCTCGTATTTTGGAAGGATTGCAAAACTCATAACACTGCAAGATGCTTCGAAGATTCTTACTGTTTGCAGAATAAATTCGTAATAAGCGCTCGATTCGGTGATTCATTAAGTTTCATCGACTTATTATTAAGTGATGACGTTGCTATCGACCACCACATAAACTGTCTCGATGTATTTCCGCAAAGGAATGCTTTCGGAGGCCAGTTGCAATGGATGATTCATAAACTGACGTCCCATATAATCCTTGCTGATTTGCTCGTGTCTGACTGAATTATTCTGAGCAAATTCGTGTTGACCTAATTCAACAGTTGTTTCTGATACTTCTGGTAACTAGACTGAATCGTTAACGAACCCGATGTTTAAACTTCATCAACATCCAGTATCACCACCTAGTTCAGGGGACAATCTCGAGTTGTGACCCAGTTATACTTTCAGTTGGTCCAACATGTAATGCACATGGAAATGTAATCACCATCTCTCTTGGTAGAGAAGCTGTTGTTACGTCAAAAGAATGCCTAGATGTGAGGGTTGATCTGTTTTCTGTCGGAGGAAGACGACTGAATTCCAGTCATGATCAAAATCACAAATCATGGTCATCTCAAAACCGTGAAAGTGTCTTAATTGCTGATCCATTGAAGCCGGTTTGTATTCGTTTTTCGAATTTTGCCGTCGAAAATTATAACTGCAGCAATCTTTTTGATTTAAAACTTCCAATCACGTTATAGAACTTCAACTGAAGACTTGAAGCCAGCGATTTTTTAGTGCAGGCATATGTAGTGGATTCTCGAGTTGAGTCTTGAAATTGTATTCGAAAAATATTTTAAATTGATCGAAGGACCATAATTTTTAATCACTAATCTTTAGGTTTCGCCGGTCGTCCATATACAGTCATCGGGAGTAGCTCTTGCTTGCGATCGTTACGTCAGTCTAAGTGTGATATCCCTTAGTGGAGTTGGAGGTCGAGCAGTGTCCTTCAAATGGATCACTCCGGATTGTTCGTTTCAATTTCAGGATGTTTTACTTTCTCCTTACATAAACTGTTTGCAAACACATGTTTTCCAATATTATTTCATATTTTTTAAAGATCGCAGTTTACAGATCTTGATCCGGAGCTGATCGAGCTACTCAACGCAACAAACGCTCGAATAGTCCAAATTCCTCGCGATTGGGTAATGGTTTCAATTTCTGATGCATCCATTCAGTATCTGTCCTATAATGATTCGAATGAATTGCTGCTAGAAACATCATGTACAATTGTTTTTCTCCTCTCTGACAATTTGTATGTTTGGTTGTTGCTTTGTAAGTGATTTTGTGCCGTATAACAATTAGTAGGATGGCGGAAAAGAAATATATAAATACTTTGATACCAAGAATGTTGGCAATTTTTTGCTAGTAAACTGTTTTTTTTNTTTTTTTTCGTTGTTCAAACGCAGGCGCCTGACTGAGAGCATACAATACGCCGGTTCAGTGTAATCGTAAGATGGTTTCTTTTCATTGTGAGTTTCAGATAACGACGAATTTCACAGTAGTATGTGAGGTGTGTAATTTTGTTGAGCGTTGCTCGAGAAGTAATTCTTTACTGGTTTCGCGCAGTAACAATTCACGGCATCTATCAGTTCAAGTTGATGGTATACCAGAACGACCAGTTTCATCAGTTTCACTCAGACTGAAAGCTTCCATTCATTATAGACGTTGTGATCGTCTTGAACAGGGATCGCTGCATGATTTCAGTGTATGTTCTTGAGGGAATTTCTTCTTTCCTTTCAATGAATCTCTCGAATTTCGATTTTTCTGGAATTCATTTCATTCGTTGTTGAACTGGCCGAACCGCTGGTAAGAAATATTCTCGTTCAATCGCACGTTGTGAATCGATTAATAATTAATTATGTAGCATCCAACACACAAAGTTGTTTATGTTTTCACGCTTTTTCCTAAGTTTCATCGAGGTTCAAAAACACTTCAAAAACATGCTCACATATCCTTTCAATCTATCAACCAAGACTTTAATCTAGTGTTGTGCAGGGAGTCCCCGAATTCGGGGTCCCCGTCCCCGGAANCCCCGTCCGCGCCCCTAACCATTTTCAAGCGGCGGCCGTTTTCGGGGACTCTTCCCGTCCCCGAATCCCCATCCTCGAATCCCCGTCCCTGAATCCTTGTCTCCGTCCCCGACCCATTTTTCTCTCCCCACACAACACTATTTTAATCTGTTAAGTATAATATTTCCTCAGTAAAAATACTTTTTGTCCAGATATACATTTCAGTACATTTGGCGTGTGAATGGTGCAATAAAGTGCAAGGAGTATTTCTGTCAAATTGCACAGTTCACATTCAGTCCAAATCAGCAAATCAGTATGCAAGTATCGGTTTCTGGTAACCTTCTTGATGGCTTCAATTCAACAATGAGTGCAACTTCAAAATACAGCTTTACAGTGAGTTCCCTCCGTCATAAAAGAAGTGGAAGAAAAATTTTGAGTGGGTTTATCTGATCGTAGCATAGTGTTCGTTAAATTGCTACGATGAGTTCGCACCTCCTCCTCCTAACTCGCAGTAATGGCACCGTAATGAGATGATAGTATGTTTTGTTCTCAACAAGATCAATATCTGCATCTCACTTGCTATGTTTCAATGCTTGATGCTTATCACTCTTCAACTCTTTCAACAGATTTTGATCCGTGCAGACATCGAAGGATTTAGGTTGAAGAAGAACCACTGAATATTGTAATTGATAGTTCGGATCGTTGTGCGCCAAACGATCAATCGATTGTGATTGACGCAAGTCGGAGTCGAAATCCTAATTCCGTAACTGGGTATGTTCAGCATCATTGGAGTTGTCTGAATGTGAGTCATTCTTAGTTTCTCTTTTTGAATTATCATCAACCGTGAATTCCGATTTCCGATTCCATTGTTTCGGGATGAATTAGAACATACATATTTCATAGCCTCGCTCAATCTGTCACAAGCAATGAGCACTCTGTGAGATGAATGGAACCGAACCATTTTTGTGAATGTTTTTTGCGATCAAATCTCAAAGATCAAGATTCTAGGAATTTTTTGTGCTAATGTTTGATAATGCGGCAACATTTTTTGATCAATCCTATTTGGGCTTGTTTCATACAGTCTGCAATCGTTAATCTATAAAGTCTCCACAATTCAGATTTCGAATAATTCATCTGCATGTTCGATATCGGCTATTTGGGATATTAGCTGGACTGACTCAATTCTTCGTATTCCAGCGTTTGCCTTATACCCTTCATTGTAAGTCCGATAAAAGTTTTGAATCAGTGGAAACTTTTTGCAAAGAAGTCGTGAGTTATCTTTCAGATATCGGTTCGTTGATAATGTGACATCGGATCATTTGGTTGCCTTCGCCACATCGGTAGTTGAAGTAATGGCAGCCCCCGTCCCATCAATTACTTTATCAACACTGTCCAGTCAAAGACCAAATATCGATCAATTTGTGAGATTCATCGCTGTGGTACAATCCAAAAGTCGTCCGTTACATTTCTTATGGAGGATGCAAGCAAACGAATGTGAGAACATTTGATTACATCCACACTTCCGTTACTGAGACATCCATACAAGAGAAGCAAAACGAAGCTGTTGAAAGCGCCAACGAAATCCTCGTCCACTTACCTCATGAATGGGCGATATTTCAGCGTGTTCTTTTGTTGATCTGTCGGAAACTTTCCCGGACGCAGTTGGTGAATTGAACGGTCCAGTTGCAAATGGAGACATACCCGTGATGATCACTTTTACAATCCCACCAGCGAACAGACAAGTGTAATTCCAATTCTGATCACTTGCACTGAAGTATCTGATTGCCTGTTTCATTTACAACACACCTATAATATTAACATAAGCAGTATGTATTATCAGTTCTGAATGGTATACAGGTTGAACTCAATGATTTTAGCTATTCCACATGGACCGGTCTTGCTCCCGGTGCACTTTACTGCCTTATTTTCGAAGCATCCAATCCAGCAGGACAATCATTCAGTGAAATTCTATTCCATACAAACGAACCTCCAGCAGTTGGCGTTCTTAACGTTAGTTTACTGGTGAATTAAGCACGCTTTCGTTGTTTATGATTTGTAGTGCAAATTCGCAGATCGTTTCACTCTTGAAAAAGAATGCTCCTCTGAAGTAAAGTGTAGCGAACAATCTCAAAAGTATGGCTGTATATGATTTCCTCGAAAATTGTTGTCATTTTCCAGTTCCAGTTCTTAGAAGTTTTGCACATTTTATGAATAGTCGACCGATCAATATCCCCTCAAACTGCCTTCGCTACAAATCTCGCACTGCACTGAAGGAAGTTATCGTTAAGTCATTTTAAGGTGGTACCATCGCAAGGCATTATTGCACTAAAAACTGCTGTTACATTTTCAATCGGTGATGGATGGACTGATGTTACCGAAGATTTACCACTATCATATTCCTTCGGTTTACGGTGCGTGATATTGTTTCGTTTGATGCCATACTGATGAGTTGCTTATATGATCAACATTCAGTTGCAGTCAGTGACTATGTGAATGCATAGTTTCAGACGTATCCATGCGGACAGCGAATATTTTGATATTTGGGAAGGTTCTTCGACTCAGACATCGACCACAGCTTATTTTGCTTACGGTGAGTGCATTATTTAAATGTACTGCCGCGAAATCCGTTTACATTTAAATGTAAACTCGCTAATAAAACACAGATTAAAATCGTTGCAAACGCGCACAACAAATTAGTTGCAAAAATTCAAAAGCAAATTCGCTACACATTCCAATCCCATTTAATCCAATGATCGCATTCAAACACTCACAAGTTCGTAATATCACCAAACAAATCATTGGATTAAGTGAAATTGGATTTTGTAGCGAGTTGGAATTGGAATTTTAACAGCTGAATTTACAGCTAATTGGAATTTATAGCTAATTTACAGCTGATGCTTTTGCAACGATTTTCAATTGAGTTTTAGTGATGAGTTTAGTTCGCAAAATGCACGATTAATTCATTATATTCAACGAAATTCATTATAGTCGTATATGACACTGATTTACTAGTGAATTCTGTTCTGCCGATACGTGAATGAGACATAACTTCAGAAAGTCAATCTCTTCGTCAGAGTCCTCCCAATCTAGTGCTATGATGATTCCTTTGCTTTTTGCAGCTTCTTTGAACCTGTTGTTGCGTGATTTGATCGTTCGTGTGTTCATTATTCAACATGTTCCATTTTCAGCATCTCCGCAGCACAATGATGAGTGCAATACTTGCATAGGTTACAAAGGTTTAGTGAAGGTTTGCGATCGTCATAAAGCATGCAGTATGACTGAAACTAATTCCTTCGTTGTGAAACACCCTAAAGATACTCCAGTCGCGTCTTCGCGCTTAATCGATTTGCTCGAAACTGACATCTTATCAGGTTGCTGCAAATTGTTTCTTCTGCTAAATGACGATCGTCAAATCTAACCTCAAATCAGTGCTTTCTAAGATTGAAGAACTTATCACTACTTATTTTTTATCACGATCACTTTCAACAATGCTTTCTCAACTTGCCATGCTCACCGGTAACCATTCGAATACTATAGGTGCATTCGCAACAGAGCACTCGAATACATCCGTTTTCTGGGGCACCATTTTTTCCTATGTTCGGTATATTGATCGTTATTGATATATCTCGATTTAGGCGACATATATGGTGCACTGACGAAGCTGAGTGCAGTCTACTGGGAACGTTGCAACTCAGCAATTGCGGAGACGTATTCAGACGATATTGTCATGATGATTATCGATATTTTCGATAACTACAGGTGAGTATTGGTGACAGTACTGAAACTTGTTTCACTCGTTCATTCAGTTCATAAAAACGAATCACTCTTTGTGGATTGCATAATGTTCTCTCAAACAAGTTACGAGATTTAGAGGGACATTAAAACCGCATGGTCCTACAAGTATACAAAAATGTAATGCTTGTAAGTGGAATATAGTTGATCACAGATTAGATCTATTAGTTAACTGAGATGAAACAACTCCAAAGCTTGACCGTGATGTGTTCCATATAACTCGTTCCGGTTCCAACCAAATATGTCGTCGTTTTCCAGTCTCAGGCTTGCTCTAATCANATAAGTTTAAGTAGCTGTTCTCATCATTTGTGCCATATTTTCCTGTAAATCTTTTCAGTGATGCGACTGGTTTTTGGGAACAACTCACTTGGGCACTTTCAATGGGTAGCAAGCTTTCAGAGCGAGTAGTCGAACGACTTTTTAGATATATGGAACTCGCTCGTCTTAAATATGGCTTTTCGATGGTGCAGTATCGAAACAAGAGGCAAACAGATGATGAAATGTCTGAACCAAAACTGCTCACAGAAGAGGAAGTATGTATAATTTACCCTTGACTAACTGCATTGAATGTTGGCAGCAGAATTCATCTTGTTTGTTAAAATTTGCATTTTATTATCCAATGTGATTGAAAGTTCTCACTTTTGAAATCGTATCGCTTGATGCAAGTTTTTTGTATTCAAAGCACAATTGGTCATGTCAAAGTGAGAAGTTGTTTTGTTGGTCCCCTTGACTGATCAAGTTTCCGCGAGACAAGTACAATGACCTCTAGGGTCTCTAACGGACGAATTCTTCTGTATTCACAAATTTCACGATCCAAAACAACTCTGTTTAAGGCATCCCAATTGATGTATCCATTCGACTCTCTTGTTGCTGCAAATCAGAACGTTATCGGGATGTATCTCCAGAATATCCTTGACATTCTGTCATCGTTTTGTCGACAAGTTGATCCATCACGTATAATGAAAGCTCAAGGTTCGGTATATGTCAACTGTACTTCTAACCCTTCTAACTCTCTTCAATGGCCGTCTTTTCAAATTGTCTATGCAGTTCAAACAACATGAATGATTAGGTTTTGCGAAATCCCGATGACTTCTGCATAATCCCGGTTTTCATTTTTCAGCCCCGGATTCAGCAGTTTTTGAAATTTAGCAGTATCACGTGAAAAAAATTTTTTGAATCGGTGCGTTCATAGTTAATAAGAAAACAATTTATTCAACAAAGCATATGGGTAGCAGCATATTAAATTCTGTAAAAAAAGCATAAACAATACAAGACAAGTATAATACAAGTACAGATATAACGTCAACAGTTAAACCTTTATTGCACTATCTCAACTTGCTCTGTTAACAGCTCCAGTAGATCAATATTCAGTTGCTTATG